AATTCACCGCCCTTGAAAAACTAACAAAGAGGTCGCAAGAACATAAAGAAGCTGAAGAAGTAGCTCAGCAAATATTTTTGTTTGATAATAATTGCTTTTTGTAATGAAATGGTCACTGAAAACTACCCATACAAGACATACTAAGGCACTTAAAAGAAACTAAACATTCACTAGTCTTACATTGAAACCAGACATTGCTATATATATATATATATCTTACAGATACAACATAGAACATTTATATAACATAGAAATTCAAAAGCATATTGCAAACAAGAAAATTATACAGAATTATGCAGAAATGAAATACAAATGACCTGTAACAGCGATTAAACCATTGAAAAACAAACTTTTTAGTGTGACCAGCAACCCTTGCACACTTGCATACTTCATGTCCAGTATATATCATTCAATTTTATTCTTGGTTAAATTTATTAACTGCAGCCAGGCTTAATCAAACTTGATTCAAAAAATACTTTCCTGCTTCCTTGTAACTACGATATATAATATTAAGAGAGAGGATACAATTCTAGAAATATTATACTAACAGTAGCTGACAATCAAAAGATAAGGCACCTCCAGGAAATCGAGTTGCTCCATACTATTCTATAAGAGTTACACCTGTCCATTAATACAGACATTTTGTGCCCGTCCCAATAGTTTCCATCTGAGAGCTGACTGTAGCTTGTGCAACACCACACGTAAGCCTCTGAAACACAAAAATACAATGCTACACCGTCTTAATTAGTCTTAGACTGTCACACGAGATCATTCGAATGCAATTTTCTAGTAGAACTTTAAAAAAAGGTCAGAACCTATTTCTTGGATAGCGGTTCTGTAACTAAAAAAAATATTTACCATCTTTATGTTAAAAAAATAAAAATCGCTAAATTGGGCAACTGAAATCTTTTATTTTACTAACCAGCTAAACGCCAACGTATAAAACAGAAACCTTGCCATCGCCATTATGAAGTTGCCACTTCAGAACTAAAAAAACCTTAAAGGTTCATAAAAGTTCACTCTAAAAATTTGCATGCACAAACAAAATTTATACAACCATGACATATTTTTTTTTTGTAGCCATTTATGATCATTTGGCTTTGACTGGCAAGATAAAACGCGACCTTTAACCTGTAATATTCGATAGGCCATTTTGACATTACATAAACACATAAACATAAAAGGCGAAAAAACACCTTAACTTATAAGACTAACAAGACGCCTAAAGTCGTTTCTGTGGGATGCGTTGGTCCGTGGAAACATAATGGCGTTCTACCTGAATTTGGAAAAATTAGGGAAACCGGAAAGATGTGTCATGTTATGAGCACGCAGTCTACTATTTCTCCCTAATCCACATCCCCTTTTTGTTTCCTCCCTATCCCCTACCACTGCTAAAAACGGGAAGCTATCTTGTAATTGACTAATCATGTTAGTAGCCATGGCGACAGCAATATCCTCACACCTGCTACGCAAGCTAAATTTATAGTTGTCAGTGGTCGCAAGGATGGAGTTGATCTTGTTTTGATCTATCGCTATGTAGTTATTTTCGTAGCACGATATGGATAAGAAAAAGAAGTTATTTTGCATCAAAACAAGGTTTACCCGTGTAACTTAAATTGGAATGTTAACGGAAACAAGTAATGGAAAACATGCGCATAATGCTCTCTGATTAACCTGAACAGGAACTATATGTATAAAGATAGGTCATATCTTGGTAGTAAGTTGCCACAGGTAACTTTTTCAAAGAGAAATNTTTTTTTTTGTAGCCATTTATGATCATTTGGCTTTGACTGGCAAGATAAAACGCGACCTTTAACCTGTAATATTCGATAGGCCATTTTGACATTACATAAACACATAAACATAAAAGGCGAAAAAACACCTTAACTTATAAGACTAACAAGACGCCTAAAGTCGTTTCTGTGGGATGCGTTGGTCCGTGGAAACATAATGGCGTTCTACCTGAATTTGGAAAAATTAGGGAAACCGGAAAGATGTGTCATGTTATGAGCACGCAGTCTACTATTTCTCCCTAATCCACATCCCCTTTTTGTTTCCTCCCTATCCCCTACCACTGCTAAAAACGGGAAGCTATCTTGTAATTGACTAATCATGTTAGTAGCCATGGCGACAGCAATATCCTCACACCTGCTACGCAAGCTAAATTTATAGTTGTCAGTGGTCGCAAGGATGGAGTTGATCTTGTTTTGATCTATCGCTATGTAGTTATTTTCGTAGCACGATATGGATAAGAAAAAGAAGTTATTTTGCATCAAAACAAGGTTTACCCGTGTAACTTAAATTGGAATGTTAACGGAAACAAGTAATGGAAAACATGCGCATAATGCTCTCTGATTAACCTGAACAGGAACTATATGTATAAAGATAGGTCATATCTTGGTAGTAAGTTGCCACAGGTAACTTTTTCAAAGAGAAATAAACATTGTAGTTTTAGGTTAATGGAACAAAACATCCCAAGGAGAAATAATTTTACTAAGGTCCTGATCCGTGTCCCATCCAGAAGTCCAATCCATACCAAAAGCGAGTCGTCGATCGACGAGGACAATGTTTTCGCGATTTCACCGTCAATCGTCAAGGGTACGAGTTGAAATTTACGCGATTTAACCTCCCATCGTCAAGGTGTTTTCGATAAAAAAGGAAAAAAACTGAACTCTAGCTGTGCTCGGCAAAAACTGGCGAGCCCCGATCGGAAATCATGGCCCGCGACCAGACGCTACTAAAACCTTATGAAAAAGCTAGACCTAAATAAAAAAGAATCATGAAGGGAAGAAATAATTTGGCTTAGGTCGCCTTTCGTGACTTGCCAGTATCTCGAAGGATTTCGTTGGTTAACAAGCCATCCTAAACCACGTGTGGAAAAACTCAAGGGCGACAAATTTGGCAAGGAACGTTCTGATTTCGACTTTCTTCAGAGGAAGCAAATCGATTGAAAATCGATACAGATTTTGTACAATCTGATTGGTCGGCTTGGAAGAAGAGATAATCGATAAAGATTTTAGGCAATCCTATTGGCTGGCTTTGCAATTTTGGGTACAACCGAACCGGATTTTTACCGTGGGAGTGCCACAGGCATCCCACGGAATTATAAAATATAACCTAAATTAAATATTTTCTGTATATCGCATAGAAATACGCCAAATATCAAATCTAATTATAGATTGCATCGATCTAAAGATATAAAGCAATAAATCCGAACCTATCTCCAGCTAGACAGTGCCATTTTTCTTGCCCTGACAACGGATCGAGAGCGAAAAGGCGAGCTAGTTCCAGTCCTACTACGCATCACAGCTAAACCAGAGAGCGCGTATGAGCGTTTCAACGCCCTAGCTTCTTACGCCCTGGTTTGTACGGCTAGACAACGCTCCAGAGGTAAGTGATCTACCGCAAAGTTTTTGGCCCCCTAAAACATCACAATCCCACGTTTGAGAAGAAACTCTTTTACTTATTGATTATCGAATGCTATTTCATAAAACGTAATTTTGAAGACAATTTCTCAGCTAAAATAGGAGTAAGTCCCAAATATGGGTAGAGGTGTAACGT